ATGTCTTGGAGGCTTAAACATGAAAATTTGTGTTATTTACTTGGAGGACTTGACTTTTTTTTTCAAATTCTTATGAACTTTATCAAACAAGACTGTTCTAAAAATAGTATCACCATTTTTTGTACAATCTTTTGCTTTCCTATAACTCTGCTGATAAACCATTTTTTTTTTAAATTTACAATATTTTTTTTAAATTACAATTTGTGCATACACGAGGCAAAAAGTTTGCTCGCATTCAATATCAGAGATATAATGTTTGAGAAGATATGTGTGTTTAATGAGTTATATTCATATTTCAAATATTTTATCATATTTACCCCACTTATATCAGTCATGCTAGATTGTTCATTTATTTGTGCAATATCCGCCATACATCTAAAATTTGATAAGTTATTATTTTCTTCATTAAGGATGTATACTGGTATCTCATTGTATCGCGGTACTTATTTTTTGCGTAAAAAAGTTATTCCAAATTCTTACTTTTACTTTTCATCAATGCTATTCAAAAACCTAACAATTGCCTAACTTTTTCATGGCTAGTTATTTCCCAAGCTTGCTTCGTTTAATTTGTAGTCTATTTTTAAAACAGGAAGTCTTATTTACCTCCTAAAGGGGAGCGTCTCATTGCATCGCGGTAGTACTGAAAAACATGGAAGCTTGGCGCTATCACGAAGAACAATTCCTGTCGTTTAATTTTCGTTATATTTGTATATTTTATTCATGTACATGACCATATCTACTATGTGTATGCACATTTTGGACAAAAATCGTTCGAGTCGTATTTGGACAGAAAGTTCCAAAAGTTACCCCCCCCCCCCTTTTTTTTTTAGCTGTTCACAAGGAGAAGAAATTTTCAATCAACCAACAATAAAATCCTTTAATTTTCAAACAAGAGGCCCATGGGCCTAATCGCTCACCTGAGCACATTGGCTAGCAAGAAGCAGAAATCAGTTCAGTATTGAACAAAAGGGGGGGGGGGGCTTAATTTACACTACCTCAGGATGCTTTGCTGTTCTTCAGCAGAAGATTTTTTCAAGATGATATTCCTATGCAAAACGTTGACACTCTGTTGTGCCCCCCAACACCTGGGGGGGGGGGGGGTCATAATTTAAACAAACTTGATTCTACAATATCTAAGGTTGCTTCTGTATAAAATATGACTAATTATGGCTTAGACGATACGTTCCTCAAATATCTGTTTTGTATATCTTCGTATTGCATGGAAAATATTCCAAATTTTAATTATCTTCCGATTTCTAAACTTGTTTCTAATTGTCTTTAAAAAAATTGAAACGCTAAAAAATGTGATTTTGGCCAAAAGGATTTTATAGGAAACAACATCCTCTGGTATCTTGCACAAATGCCTGGTAAGGTACCTCAATTCTTTGCGAGTAAACATGTTAAAGTAGCAATACTTCAATGACAAATTCTTTGAAAAAATTATATATTATTGAGGAACGTTTCGTCTGTCCTTAAGAAGATTTGAAAGATATTTCTTATGTAACGTGTATGGTCAGATTCTTACAAGGGATATATAGGTTTTCCTTTTATCTGTTTGAGTTAATGATTGGAATGATTATTAAGACAGCTCTGTCTGAGGGTGTATCACACGGTACTTAAATTTTCTCTTATCTATAGATGGGGACTGGGTAAGGTACTACTTGCACTGTGTTTCTCCCCTAGGCTCCCAATTTTAGATAAGAACCAGGTGTCTCAATCTTCTTCAGATTAACTACACTCAGAACTTAACAACAAATCCCTAGGATACTTGCCACGGGTGTTTATAATTTTTATACTTTTATTTTGCTCTTATCCTTAAGGTTTTCCATTCTCTATCCTTAAATGTCCATCACATACATAATACTCTGATATTAATTAAAAGCATTGTACAGTAGAAAAAAAATTACCAAGAGAAAGTTTCAAAAATGTAAATAACTAAGCAGTAATTAATTAACAAAGATTGCAATTCAGAAGTAAAAAAAGAAATAGATAGATTATACGATCAGTACGTACTGGTTCCTGCTGACAAAGCAGGCAACAACAATGTCTTTGTTTGTAAGGCTCATTATATAAATTGTATTTTAGAGGAAATGGGATTTAATTCTACAAGTGGTAATCCAACTTATACCTATAGCTTCCTTTCTAAGGAGGAAATTCTCCAAAATCATGTCAGTTTTGAATATTTTAAATATTCCCAACAACCAAAATGAATTTGAATTACATATCTATACTGGATTCCGAAACTTCATAAAAATCCTTACAAACAAAGATACATAGCGGGTTCCAGTAAATGTTCAACCAAGCCTCTTTCTTTACTCCTCACTAGGATATTAACAGTAGTGAAGGAGAAACTTCAAGAGTACTGTGCAATAATAAGTTCGAGAAGTGGTGTAAATCAGATGTGGATACTAAAAAATTCAAAGGAACTTTTGGAACATTTGAAATCACAAAATTTTACCAAAATTAACAACATAAAAACTTACGACTTTTCAACTTTATATACAACTATTCCACACGATAAATTAAAGTACAGACTTTTTGACATCGTTGACAGCTGCTTTTTCAATAAAAATGGAACTCGTAAATTTACTTACTTTGTCATTAGCCATTTGCAAAATTACTTTGTCAAAAAACAATCTGATTGTACAAACAAGTACTCTGAAGTTGACATTAAAAAGATGCTCGAGTTTCTGATTGACAATATCTTTGTGGTGTTTGGAGACCAGGTCTTCCAACAATCTATTGGAATACCCATGGGTACCAATTGCGCCCCGTTATTAGCAGACCTATTTTTGTATTCATATGAAGCAGAATTTGTTCAAAATCTTTTACGAGAAAAGAAGAAAACACTTGCTGTGGTCTTCAACTCGACATTTAGATATATCGACGACGTATTGTTAATTAACAATGGTTATTTCCATTCTTATGCATTCTTACACGATATATCCCGCTGAGCTTGAGATAAAAGATACCACATAGTCTAACACATCTGTTTCATATTTGGATATTTTATTAGAAAAAGACGTTAATGGTAATCTGACAGCAAAGCTTTATGATAAACGTGATGACTTTAACTTTTCAATCCCCAACCTCCCTTACCTATGCAGCAATATACCCTTATCACCTGCATACGGAATTTATTTCTCTCAGTTCATTCGATACGCCAGAGCATGTTCTACGTATGAACAATTTCTAAAACGAGGTAAGTTATTGACAAACAAGTTGATGAAACAAGAATATCAGCAGTCCCGTTTAAAGTCATCATTTCGTAAGTTCTATGGTCGATACAATGATCTAGTCAACAAATACAATCTATCAATAAGTCAAATGCTGACTGACTTTTTTCATACTAATTGTTAGGCCATTATTTACACACTGAATTGTCGACGGATTTTTCCGTTATTTCCCGATCATGACAAGGAACACACGACGGGTGTGACCGGTAGGCAGGGGATGCTCACTCCTCCATGGCACCTGATCCCACCTCTGATGTCTTAAAGGTCCGTGTTTGCTCTGCTCCTATTTTGTAATGTTTAATGGACTTTTGAGCTCGAATACTGATCGTTATCTCCACATATTTAATTGAAGTCTATGGGGACAAGTGATTTTTTTTAAAATAAAAATTCAAATAATAAGAATATCAATTATAACTTTGTTTAATAGCTCTCTTTAAGAAAATATAAATTGTTTACAAATGCATGTAAATTATATTTTGAATTATAAGGGGAGGGCCCCTTAACCCCTTTTGAATTTTATATTTCCTCTTCTCTTTCACCGTTCACGGTAGCTCAGTCGGTAGAGCGCTCGCTCCGTGATCGGGAGGTCGTGAGTTCGAATCTCGTCCGTGACCTAAGTCGATAAGAAATGGGTAGCAACTGTTCCTTCGCCATGCGCTCGGCACTTTGAAGTGAAAGTTGCGGGTCCTTCGGATGAGACCTTAAAAACTGAGGCCCCGTCACGGAAGGCGTTGGCACGATAAATATCCCTCACAGCTCAATGGCCCTGAGTGCCGAGTAAAGGTAAAAATTTGAAGCCCTTCATCGGTATATAATGACGTCTCTATATGAGTGAAAAATTCTGGAATGAGACGTACAACAACACACAATCAGTCTTCTCTTTCAATTCTGATTGATAACTGTTGAAGGTTTTCATTATTATTGGTCATCATTGAACAGGCCAGTATCCCAAACAGTACAGTGTCATTATTTCAATTTCATCATTTATATTTCAAATTAAATTACTAATATGGACATTTATCCTGCAACTACCCCTTGCATTGACCTAATAAAGGTAACCTAATAAACCAAAGCTTTATTCGGTCAATGCCCTAATAAAGCCTCGTGCACGTATTCCAACGTTCTAAAAGCATTGTGACTTCATGAATATTGCAATGTTTACGCCATGGCGTCTTAGTTTTAACTGCAGAGATGTACCTAAATCGGTTGAAAACAGCTCGTTTTGGAGGTCCTGTAAAAATGTGTTGCAGGATAAACAAAATACATGGAGACTGTCTTGAAATATCAGCGATACTTGGGCTCGGGTCGAAAACGTGATAGGGGCTCGGCAAGCCTCGCCCTCTATCACGTTTTCTTACCCTCGCCCAAATATCGCTTATATATCAAGACAGTAAGCATGTATTTTATATATATATATGTCATAGTAGAAGAATCATTATATAAGTAAAAAGAAAGATTCATAGAAACTGGATTGACATATTAAACGAACAATCCACACTTATGTTGATTTATTTAAAATAGAATACAAGTATGAAGTATTCCAAAATACAAGTTTAAAGCTTTGTAGTGATCGTCCAAGTGATATCTCCAGTTCTTGTTGCTGAATATTATTTGCGGAAATAATGTTAAACGATGACTCAACCTTATATGGACAATTTAAAACATTTCCTGTTTATAAAGTATATTTGATGGCAAGTCGAAAAATATATTTTGTAGTAACAGTTTTTTATCAGAATTTTTAGAATTTCTCATTGCTATAGAATGATGGGTCTAAGTCTAGGAACGGAGTATTCCTTGTTTATAATGTCTATAACGTTAATATTTATAAGTAAGTATCAAATAATTTCATTTCATGTCATTTCTGCTGTAAATGTTAATACTGGGAAGAATATGGTTAAGACGCAAGGCTTTTGTCCATTAGTGTGAAATGCATATGCTACAATGCGTTCTTGAATTTGTGAAAAATTCTCGTAGTGGGCAAGGAACGTTAAAACTAATTGCCGTGTTTCAATACATTCAATACATAATTCCTTTTTATTGATTTCTTTCAGGTAGTCAGGAATTTGCTTCAAAGATAAACACCTGGATAGAAGGTTGTATCCTTCATTCAAACTGGACAACTCCAACTTTTAATGGCTCTTGCTCTCCACTATATACAGATCTATACAGAATCATTTTGAAAGAAAACAGAAGCCAAAAACGAATCGTGACGGATACATATGAATTGAAATATTCTTACGTGGGATTAAATGAATTCTCTAATTATAGTTTCACTGTTCAACCTTGCGCGGGTAGTTCAAATATCAGTTCCAGTAGAAATATTACCGCTCAAGCAAGTAAGTTTATTGTAAATAATAAAATTTGATTTTTCAAAAATTTTGAAAATAGCAGTAAACAATTATGAAAATTACAAGTAATAAAAAAGAAAACCCAAAGATAGTATTGTAGTGAATGTGTACTAAATGTTGATGTAATAATCCCATTTGTTTTTATATATTTAATTATTCATATGATTTTACTAATTAAAGCATATTGTTTTAAAACTAAAAACATATATGCCTACAAAAATTCTCACATCACTACACCAGCTTGCTTTCTGTGAAACATGACAAACAGTTATTTTTAGTGGTCTGTGGACCTTTTCGCAAATCTTACGTCTAAGATAAAAAATTTTCCCATTCTCCATCAAGTACCCAAGCTGTAGTATGTCACAAAAAATCTTATACTTTTACAACATTACATTCATGACATTGTGTATATATATATATATATATATATATATATATATATATATATATATATATATATATATATATATTAAACAAAAAATTACAGAGTTGTCAAATTTTTATCTTAGTCGTAAGAATTTTTGTGAAAAAGAGTAACTGTTGTTTAAGGTTTATCACCCCTCTGTTCACTCATGAAAAGTTTTGCTTAATTGAGAATGATTTTTCAAAACAATCTTTCTATGTTTGAAAAGCAGACATTTTCTGCACACCTGACGGTGCAAAAATCGCCTTTTGGCTTGATGATTTTGTAAGAGAAATTCAATAATAGTCTGGTCTTAAATCATTTAATAAAAACGGAAAAAAAACTTTGATAAAGTGTGTAGCTACTTCAGACTCAATCAGTTGAGCTAGTCTCCTGCAGATTTCTTTTCATAGAATAGCACCTGTAAATTGAAAATAGTGATCGCACTACTTGAATCATTTGTTTATTCTCATTCTAGATCAGATTAAACAATAGACAACATTTCAAAAAAGTTGAATATCGTATTAATCACAAGGCCTATTGATATATAAATATTTATAAGCAACACTTTTCTCTGATACTTGTGAATGTACTGAAAATGGAGGGGGCCTCCTAATTTCCTAAGGGGCTTGTAGTTTTTATTGACTGGCAGATCCTACGGGTCCGAGGTGCAAAATAGTTTTGGTTAAGAGTAAAGACTGTTGTTCCATTGCAATTTGTTTTATATATATTTCCTTTTGAAAGGTATTAGTAAAGGTAAATAAGATGTAATCTTTGGGAAGGTGCTGGGCCATAGTATAATGATTTTTCACTGTGGAAATTTTTTTTGAAAATAACCTTAATATATAAACAGAAATGTAGCCTTCTTGTTCGGCCACTGTCAGTGTTGAATGTTTGTAAGATGGCAAAACGACGTCTGTGTTAAGAATTTCACTGATTTTATTTCGTGCTTATCTGACGATTGGTTCTTTCATATTTCTGATATCAACGAAGAAATGGTACATGTATGGTATTGAAATTGTGATACGACCACTTGCTATTTAAGCGATGATTTATAGTAAATAAAATGCCCTGATTTTATTGAAAGTGAATGACTAAAATTAATTCTAATATTAACCAAGCATATATATTTCTGCAAGATTTGAATATATATCATTACAATTTACAAAAGTTTGATTCTGAAATCATGCCCCCCCCCCCCGTCTCAGCCTTTGCACACTTCTTCGATAGACACATTAATCATGATGTGGTGGTACATGTATACATCTTTTCACTGAAGGTGAAAGGTTTTTTCCTAATTATACATCATGCACACTGTAAATAATAGTTTATAGAAACACTTCTGGTACAGTACTTCTAGCACACTATGCTGAAGATTAGGATATATTTTTTTAATTTTCTGGTGCACTTCTGGTACACTACATCAACAAGGTAGTTAATCATACGTTTCTGGTTTATTTATGTCACACAAATAAAATATGTGAAGCACTATGTCTACTAACAACACACAGCATACCACTAATGTCACACATGCAGTGAGCAATAAGTAAAACAATACACCACTAGCTTCTCAATTTTGGTTTAAAAAGTTTAAATATGAAAGAAATGTGATACAATAAATTCCCTCAAGATTAATTTTTTGGACCATTAAGTCAATTTTTCAAATCCAAGCCCTAAAATAATTTGATATTTGTTTTCTTACAAAAAATACTAGATTTTAAAGTAATACTATTTAACGTCATTTTGTTGCACTCCTGACATTTAATGTTTTTTTTAAGGGCCCTCTATACACTAGAGGAAAATATTTTTTGGACATTGAGAAAATTATAGTGTGTAAAGGTGTAAGTATTGAGCTTATCTATCACATTTTCAACATATGGTGCCTTGCATTTACCCCCAGGAAAAATGTTCAAAGACAATGAAGTACTGATGAACATAAATCACTGTTGTTTACTTAAGTGGACAAAATACCTGCAAATGAAGTGTTCTATCCATTCATCTTGGCCTATTAAAGTGTTATGAATGCTTGATTTGATCACAAATTAAGTAATAAACTGTACATTTCAATTTATTTTATTCTTGATCAAAGGGCAGATCACTCTATCTGCATAAAAATACCACAAAATCAGAACTCTCTAGTGTGCAGTGTATAGAGGGCTCTTAATTACACGTCTTTTTAAAATACACAATAACTCATTCAAAGTTTTTTTTTTGCAGTTGGTCGTTTTGATATTTTTTATCATTTACGGCAAGTTTTTCATATTTTCTTGAATTCTAAATATGAATATTTGCTTATGTAATTTATATTTTAAAACAAAATGTTTTGAAGTGAGAACTGTTCTGTGAATTGACTGTAAATTGTCCAAAATGTCTGCAATTGCTCGATAGACATAATGATTTCAACTGGAAAGGTATCAAACATTTTCTGCAATTTATTTTTTAAGATAGATGTGAGTTTATTGATAATTATAAAACACTTATGCTGCACTCCTGACTGCAGTAAAATTTTTATTAAACCCAAAGAACTCAAAAATTCGTAAGATTTGGGAAACATCAAGTAGTAATGAAATTGTGCAATACTGATAGTCCCAATTCTTCATAAAACATGCAATTCTTTAAACTTGGTTTTATAGCTTGACTAATTCCCTTATAATGTAACAAAACTAGTTAAAATATATTTAGAAGATAAAGGAATATACATGTATTATGGAACATACATGTATTACTTCACGGGAGAAACATTTTAGCAATTGAGGTCAACATGAACATTACTCGTAATCATGTTTGTTTATTTATTATTTATATTTGATCATCAATGAATCTAAATTTTTTGCAGCACTTCTGAATAAGAGCATGTATGACTTTAAAGTAAAATTGTAAAGCATATAAATTACACCAAAACATGTTTTGTGTTTTAAAGAAGTTTGGTGGAATTATTTGACTTTCATTACAATTATTCAGTTTTTTTTTTTTTTTTTTTTTTTTTTTTTTTTATCATTATTTCGTTAAAAAAATAAAATAAAAATAACAACACATCTGGATTGAAAAGGGGGGATTTCAATAATAAAACTATCAATATTTTAGTGAATTATTCAAATACATACATTGATCAAAGAATACTTTTTAGTATGAAAAGAGGTCATTTCATCATTGAACTATCTTTGAAAAATGTGTTGCATTCCTGACCTTGAAATGTGGATTTGAAATACAGATACATGTTGCAATTGATAGAGTTATTAAGTAAAAAAGTTCTTTGTTTCTTTATTTTCCAAAATAGAAAGTAAAGAGTCTTATACACTGATAAAAGTTTTTCCATGTTGGGGAGCAACACATCAAATGTTGCACTCTTGACATAGATGGGTATGTACAGATACTTGACTCTCATATATGCTAATTGTGATTCATATAACATTTTAAACTTTTAAATGGTATATTAGTTATTGTTTACACTTTTCTTTTTTGTCTTAATTGTCATATATATTTTTTAAATCAATGTGTTTTTTTTTGGGGGGGGGGGGGGTTGTACATTACATTTTTACCGTTGCAGTCCTGACATGGTATAACATCTTTTTTCCAGCATCAGCCGTAGCATAACTTGTTCAAACAAAAGTGACTACATTCTAAATTTAAAACTTAATATATAGAATTTTATCAAGAAAGGCCTTATTTCCAACATAAACCATTATTATTTATTGAACGGATCTTTGAAACATTTTGAATTTTCAAAATGCCACAGAAAGGTGTTATACAGTCATGGCGTCATTTTTGGGCATAACTTTTTTGCTACTTAAGAGATGTCAATGAGATATTTGGCATGTATTTGACAATATCAAAAGACATACAGAGTCGTAGAATTTATTTACATCGCCTCTATTTTATTGCAAGTTGATAAGTAAGTGTCCTGTCGTTTTAATTCACCAAAATACGAATACTTGTAAGGTATGTAAACCAGGTGATATTAAAGAAATTTGTTTAATATATATATTTCCTTTTTTAACAAAAAGAGATTATTGCTATAATTACATTTATTTGATTTTTACCGAATTTGAATAAACGACTAATTATCATTTTGTAACTTTGCATAGCTAGCTCTTCTCTCTCAGTGACGGCAAAGGAATCAGAAAACCTTTCGGTAGTGTGTCCATTCCATGGAGCGTACACATCTGTCGGAGTCACAGAGTGGCAGCACTTAAAGGGTGTTGATAATACAACAATAAGAATGTTTACTTCAAAGTTCTTGCAGCTTCATGATATAGAGTACAAAGATTCAGGGCTGTATCATTGTACAGTAGAGTATATTCCATGTGGTGACAATTCTGGAATATCAAAACAAGGAAAAGGATTTATGAACGTTACCTTTGAAGGTAATTTTAAAACATTCAAGATCATCACAATTACAAACCATCAACATCAATATAGTAATATTAAATTTGGAAAACTGTACACCCTTACATACTAGTACACGTTCCTTTTCCCTGCAAATAGATCAGTCATTTCATTTCGGAGTTCCGAATAACAATGAAGACTGAACGATGAGAGAATGAACGGTAAGCAAACGCTGTTCAAATACTTTGTGAACGGTGAACGCTGAACGCAAAACTGTGAACGGTGAGAGCACGCTGAACGAACTGTGAACGCACCCTGAACAAACGGCAAGCGAACGAAAAATAGGAAAGTAGAACGTTTCAGGGACTGTAGCACTGCATTTTCCAACTATTGACTTAATTCATTCAGTGAATGATTCACTGTAATATATATTTTAATTAATCTTGTTTGCTGTAGTAGTAATTTTGAAACTATTACGTGCTTTTAAATTATTGGAAATTAGAAATATTTTCCACGGATGTAACAGGGAAAAGAAAGTATACTGTAAAAATTAATTTTTCTATTTCATCCATCTCTGAATTGTTAATATGGTAGTCTAATTTATATCTTTCTTGTTATGCAAAATTTAGTTTGTATACTCTATAAACAGAAGAATAAATCAAATGCACGTGTAAAGTATAAGTATCTGCAGAAATACTATTTCTACAGTGATTGAGACTAAGTAATGATTAATTAAGTTTATTTAAAAAAAAATCCAATGAAAGAATGTTCCTCATAATTGGAAGAACTTTCTTGTTTTAGGACCACCTCTAATCACTTCCGTCGTAAGAACACACGATCTGAACAGAGAAGACAGTCTTACCTACGTAGTCTCTGTGATAAGTTTGTCAGGACCTCCCGAGCGACAAATAGAGATAGAAGATGAATATGGAAACAAAACCTATGTAAACAGTTCAGAACCTGTTCATAAGTACATTTCGTATACAGCGTATGGAAAAACCTTTACTGCTCAAGGATACGAAATGAAATTCACACTTGGTGTATCGAAACGGTGGTCAAAGGATCTTTCAATTGTTGTCACAAACACAAATGGTTTTCGAATATACAAATCAATACCTGTAACCGATTCGATAGTAGACAATAATAATTTAGGTATGCATCCATTTAAGCATATCCAGGCTTATTACATATAATTCTTTAAACAGAATTCAGTGTCAAATCAATAAAGACTAAATAAAAAATCTGGGGAAAAAACTCCAGTTAATAATTTTGTGTAGAAATTATAGTTTCAAAAATGATATCATTATTATAGCAAGTGCTCTTATGTACATGTAATTTCAAGATTTTAAAAGATATAATGCAGATCTAAATCGGTATCTTCATAATGCCTGAACATGCAAATGCACGTAAGAATACTTATTTTTAAGAAAGTCATGCTTTGAATTGTCAATATAAAAAAATTCACGTCAAAGCTTTCTTGAATTTTACAACTTCTTTATAAGACCAATTCCGTTTATAGAAATGTAAAACTTAAATTTTATTATACATAATTTCTTTCCTTCATTGCATTTAGAGATATTTTTTGACAAGAATAAACATCTGGTTTATGGTGTTAGCAGTGGGAGTCTTTTATTCATCATCCTTGTTATCTTCTTGGCCATTGTCTGTTGCATGAAGAGAAAACGCAAGTGTGCAGCAATACATCTTTATTCTTGTGAAATGGCAAGCATTTTTTGTCCAAACGGTCAAAGATTAAAAAAAAATGAATATTTTTATTAATAAAGCAATTTTATATTGCAGAAAAGCACAGAAATGACTCAAGTTCGCAGCTATGTTAAGGCTGTCCGAAGGCTTAAAATGCATTAGATATATACTATTTTCTTTGAGCTATGATTTGATTTTAGTTTGTAATCTATGTATACATACACAGTTAAGTTGTAAAGAGAGTTGAATATGGCATTATAAAAAAGCATTTCTATGATGTCACATGACTGTGTTGATCACGTGACGGACACTTATGAATTTTCTTAAATGTTGCACAAAAATCGCATCGGCACAAGTGAAAAACAAAATTATTGTGAACGGCTTGTTACATAAATCAATTAAACGTATTCTTGGGTATATATAAAGTGCTGGGGGCAAGTCTGAATTTTACTTCTTAAGAAAATATTTCACGAGAAATTCAACTTACATACATACAAGGGGTCATTTTCCACTCTTCCTCGCAATTTATACAAAATGGGATAAATTACATACAATCCCCCAGCAAAATTCATTTAGAGGACATAATTCTCTAGTAGATTCACACAGAATATCTTCAATTAATCCTTATTATTCACTTGTGCCGGTCTAATATATACACGATTTATAAATTCCCACTCTGTCTAAAGACGCGTAAGGGGGAGCGTTTCACATTGTTTTTTGTAATTGTTTGAATACGTACATGTTAGACAAGAAAAAGGAATAACGATATTATACTGCAATATACTGCATCATAACAGCCATAAAACAACAATCCAGACACATGAATTAAACATCAACGTAAAAAAATTTACATGTGATGTGAAAGAAATGTAAATGTTATGACACTTTCCCCGTCATGTATGCTCAAATTTGCAGTGACTTGACGTCATATGCCATTATGACGTCATATATAGGTAGTTCAGAGAAGTTACTGCGGCTGGTACACTGTGACATTCTTCGGACAGCCTTATCCTAGCCGCGTTTAAATGTTAACCAGTGAGTATTATTTTTATATTGATTTAAGAATACTGTAGTTTTTTTCACACACTGGAAACATTTGACCTTGTAAATTTACTCACATAGACAGAAGGTTTTTTTTCTTAATGTTTAAAATCATGTAAATCTGTTTTTTTTTTCTCAGAAAAAAGTCAGAGACCAACGGTGTTGAATTAGTTGATTCATTATATGCAAGGCCTTTCTCAAATAAACTATACGAAGAACAACAAGGTAATTGTGATTTTCTACAAGGTGATAAAATATTTGAAGAAAGCTTTATCAAACTGAATATAGATGTATATAATTTTACAGATAACACTGTTGATAGAATGGAATTGGATCTAGAAATACGAATAGAAAAAGAAAGAAAGGAAATTGCAAGGTTTGACTTGATGCGATCCTATAACGAAAGAAAAATAATATTTTAGAATTTGATATCATTATAGCAGGTTAATTTTCTTAGATTTGTTTACAAATGCTGAACATAAAAAATATGAATTCGTAAAGTGAAATTTGATTTTTTTATATATATAATTCAATTGCTTCAAGAAATTTACCAGTATTAGATTGTGAAGAAATTGTTTTGTTGCAGTTTATATAGTTTTGGTGGGTTTTCAATAAGCGAATTTCAAGAAGAGGAGGTTGCATATGGAAATGATCGTGGAACAAAATACGGAAATATCGTGTAGATATAGAACTATGTAAGCAAGTTTACAGGCTAGGCAATGATTCCTTAAGATATTTACCCGGAATATAACATGCATGTTTAATTGAACAGTTTTAATTTTATTTATATCTTATGTATTTTCTCCGTTTAAAGCAATAAATTGTTTTCGAAAATTGTCATACTACTTCACTGTCTTTGGTATTTATATGAATATGTAGTTATTAAAATTGGTTTACTATTTTGATTGAATTTTTCAAGTTTTTTTTCACATAGGCAACATTAAGAGGACCATTCCAGAAGAGATTTACTTACATATCTTTAATTAAATATGTCTTTTAAAAACCTAGCTGTTTTCATTTTTTTTGTCCATAAATTGTATTCCTCGAATAAGATGCAGAGAATGCTGTCATGAATGTCAGCACTTTGTATAAAAAATGAAATTACTATCCTAAAATAAATCTTTTTCCTCATCTAATTCATGTACGCTTGATATCGTTGATAAAACAGGCAGGAAGAGATGTATTCAAAATAAACTTTTAGAAGAACACAGGAACTGCAGAATGCCAAGGGTTTTCCGTTTTGGCTCTCTGGCTATGAATATGAGTACTGTAAATATGCTATTGGGGAAAATATTTAACTTACGAATACATCGTATAAGTGCCAGCTGCAGTCATAGACAAGGCACATTATATATATAGTATATACTTCTAAAAGCAATAATATGAAAATAATATAAAACATCCTTAATAATTATATAAACACATCATTTGTAATTAAATCTGAGATCCAAAACACGAAAACTAATATATATTAAGAGCTTTTACGTTTAAATCAGTTCGTCCTCATATCAATTTTTAACTCATGATTTAATTCTCGCAAGGTTTAAAATTTCTGGTTAGAAATAAATAGGGGAAAATCATGAATTTTCAAAATCCAAAACATAACTATTAATCAAAATCATGGTAACCAGGGCGAAGCTCAATATTTTGCCCAAAGTTTTACTTACAAACATTTATAGGAACTGAAAAAAATCTCTCAATAGGTAATCATTAAAAGTAAGCATCAAAATGTACTCATTCATATCTTTGCTCCAGCTAAGAAAAATGGTTGGATATATAATAGGTCAAAGTTGTATAATGAAATAATCAAACTAGAAATACATCTATGAGAAAGGAAAGCCCTATCAATGTAATTGTATATTCCAACATGAAAAAAAAATGTACCTTGTTTCCTCGGACTGAGCTAATAGTAAAATATGAAGAAATTGTAGTAAAAAAGAAGAAATAATCTTCATTTTTTGAACATGAATATACGTAACTTATGCCTTTAGTACAGTTGTTGCATTTTGTAGCATGGCAGGTAGAATTGATTCACCTTTTCTATCTAACAGCGAAATTGTTCATACATTTTTCAGGGTATGAAGTTTGATGAAGTGATCCTTCAAAACAGTTTCTTTGAATGTAAACATAGAACAAGGAATAGTAAGGATAAGGCCATGGGTAAGATGTAGGTCAAACAATAATGACACAGTTGAAATACTCTCACTCATATATATTGATAAAAAAAAAATGAAGGCCATAAGAATGTCGAGGCCACAAAACTATGACACAGTGGAATTGCTCTCATTTATAGGTATCGTGTGAAATTTGAATCAATATATTTAAAATGAAGTATAAGGCTGTAAGGCAGGCCAAGGTCAGCTACAAGACCAAGAGTAGGCCGAACTTAGGGGGAATACAGTTTAAAGTAGAACAAGATGTGTTTGTGAAACACTGATGCCCCCGTATGGCAGCTTATGGCGAAGGTTAAAGCTTCTCAAATACAAGTTAAACTTCAAGGTCAAGAGATTAAAATTGTTTGTACCCAAAGAAAGGTCTCGTCACAAGGAATACTCCTGCGAAATATGAAAGCCCTAGCACCAACAATTCAACAGTTATGGCAAAGGTTAAAGTTTTTTTTCAAAAGTAAGTCGAACTCCAAGGTCAAAGGATCAAAATTAATGGTGCCCATGGGAAGGTCTTGTCACAAGAAAAACACATTTGGAATATAAAGCCCTAACACCAGCTGTTCAAGAGTTATGACCTAGGTTGAAGATTTTCAAAAGTAGTTCAAACTCCAAGGTCAAAATTAATGGTGCCAAAGGTAAGATCTTGTCTCAAGAAATACACGTGAAAACCCTATTACCAACCATTTAAAAGTTATGGCCAAGGTTAAAGTTTTTCAAAAGTAGGTCAAACTCCAAGGGGAAAGACAAAACAAAAGACTTATCACAGGAAATACACATGTAATATATGAAAGCCATAGTTCTATTTGTTGAAAAGTTATGGCCAAAGTTTTTCAAAAGTAGGTCAAACTCCAAGGTCAAGGTCAAAATTGCTGCTACTCTAAGGAAGGCGTTGTCACAAGAAATATACTTGTGAAATATGAAAGCTCTAGTTCTAACCGTTCAAAAGTTATGGCCAAGATTTAAGTTTTTCGAAAGTAGGTCAAACGCCAAGGTTTAGATCAAAGGGTAAAAAACGTTGGTACCCAAGGAAAAGTTTTGTCACAAAGAATACACGGTGAAACATGAAAGTCATAGCTCCAACCAATCAAAAATTATGGACAGGGTTAAAGTTTTGCGGACAAACAGACAGATAAACAGACAGGCGAGCGGACAGAGCAAAAACTATTTGCTCCCGAATCTTCAATTTCGGGGGCACACAAATATAGCTGAAAATCTCTTGTCAAAACAGACGGGTCATAGGAAGTCAAATTAATAATCAATCCTTACAATAAAGTCTCGATTCAAATTTGTATCAAACAATATCCCTGGGCTTTAAAAATGGATCCATAATGGGAAGTTAAAGTTTAACGTAGGAATAAACATAAGGGGAAATTTTAAAAATAAATTTCCCCGTAAGAATGAAAACAATAGGACTAGAGTTAGTCAAATTAGAACGAAATCATCATGCATCAAATACAGATATTAGGAAGAAAATTGTTTATAGCATACCCTGTTGGGCTAATGTGGGGAAAGACTTTGGTAAGAAAGTCATTAGATATGCATAACTGAAAGGAATAAGAGAAATTATATGACTTGATAGCATTATGTCCAATACTTTAACTTACTTTGATATATGAATGCAAATTCGTACAATCTAACAGCACTAAAGAAGAAAACTATGTGCTAAATGCTAGTTGTATCATTCGTTAATTGAAAGTTTTGTTATATCATAGACTACCATAAAGTACGATTTTAAGATGATTGTCTTAATTAACTGAATATTTTAAGCATATTTATGCTTTTAAACATAGATAATTGACATGTAAATATTATTGAAATGTATTCGTAGAGATAAACTGATAGCAAAGCTTAGGTAATAGTTTACTTTTATTAATAAAATAGGTGTAGTATTCATTGACTTTATGCTTTGGAAGATAAAAAATACACAGACGTAGACAAGTCGAATAATGATATTTTTACAAGTAGGATTAGACATATCTTGGTAAACATTTTCTATCCAAAATTAATGTAAGATTTTTTTTTAATTTTTATATGATAATTTAAATTATGTAATTGTTTAAAGATAATTTAAATTATGTAATTGTTTAAAGATATTTTCAGGAGAGGGCTTCAATTCCACAGCATCTCCGTAATGGTGCAAATATATTTTTTAGATACGGGCGATTGCAGGCAAAATAAATTGTTTTTGCATTCAACTTACTTCCAATAAGACGGAATTTTTATTCACTATCAACATCATAGCCCTTTATAAGCGAAAACCAAGTAAAATAAATCTGCGTGTTTACCAGTCGTTCTCTTCAGCAGCCCTGACAGTTCTTGCGTGATGTACAGAGACTTGCGCTTGAATTTTAGAAGCACTTGATAAAGTAAATACGGTGTTGATAAATGTTTGTGTTGTATGATATCACTAAACATCGATAAATAAAAGCATCCCAGGTGATATTTTTTTTTTCATAAACAGTGATATTTATGCTTAAAATAGGGGAAATCCTAAACGATCCGCTCCCCTAGATCCCGATTTCTCATTGGTTGTCCCAAAATAAAATCGATCAAGGTCAGTAAACATGGCGGATAAATTCAAGTTGTGATGTTGACATACACGAAAAATAACCGATATACGGATTGTTCTGTATATTTTTGCATCAATTCATGTCTTGCATAACTACATTTTATGAGTTCAGCTAAGATATGTTAATAAAATATTCACTTACTGATAATTTGAGCCGAAATCTGTGCGGTAGTGAATTACTCCCGCACTTGCACCAATACGGAGATCCTAAGGAGTTGTAGCCCTCTCCCCCCCCCAAAAAAAAAAATCGGAGAGGGCTACATTATTGCAGCTACAATTCAACAATAGGGGAAAAGTTAAGTTATTTTCAAATTACCACTATTATTATAGGATTAATATAAAAATGGGGAGATTTTAAATCCCTAAATCTCAAAAAAAAGTTCTTTAGTAGATATACCACTGAAAATTAAAATTTAGCTTCATAGTAAGTCAGTGTATCGATTTAGAATAAATTAAATTTTTATAGTAAATCGAAGGATTAAGTGTCTACTATTGTAAATAATAGTTTACAATAATAAATTGTGATTATATAGTAGTTATTTTAATTTTGGGGTAGGTAAATAGCTCAGAGTTTTGTTTCATTTTGTTTCATACATATCTAAGTTTAAAGACAGTTTAATTTATTATTTCACGTTGACAGAGTTTTCGGAATAAGCAGAGTGTAAAAATAGAAGATAACGAACAGTGATCAATCTCATTAATTCATGAACAAAACGAATCGTGAACAGTTGAAAGGGTAAAACACAGACCCTAAAAACACTAGGATCAAGTGCCTAGGAGGAGTAAGCAACCCCTTGTTCACCGGTCACACCCGCTGTGAGTCCTATATATTACCGGTAATCAGGTATACTGGGTACTCCGTAGTCAAATTCAGTATAAAAGGAATGACCTATCAAATGTTATCAAACACGTCAAACAAAAAAAAAGACCCAACGATAGGTTGTATTTACAAACACGGTTCAAAAATTGATCGTACTAAAAGCATGTTCTTTCGCATCGAATTAGTTGGGAGATAAAAACACTATATGTAGGTGATGTTGAAATATTACTACATAAACAAGCATTCTGAGAGTATTGCATTAGCAATACTAGTT